GTGTGTGCCAGGTGCCTTTTTGCCCATTTGGCGCCATTTAGAAGTTGTGTAGGGCCTCTTCAGTGTGTGCCAAGTGCCTTTTTGCCAATCTGATGCCTTTTAGAAGTTGTTTAGGGCCTTTTCAGTGCATCCTAGGGCCCTGATAAAGATCTGGCAGACCAAGATAGCTCATCTGAAGGAACCACTGGGTTAGACAGGGATATAAGGCTTGATCTTAGGGAGGAAAACATCAAGCTCAGGAAATCTGTGAGAAAGAAGTGCAGCAAAATTTTCACAAGCCAGAAAGTCAAGGTCAAAGAAATGCCTTCATGTTTGCGGCCCTTAAATTAGAGACTGTGTCTGACTGAGAATTCAGATCAGGCAACGTTGCATAATAGTAAGGATATCGAATCCTGTTTCCAGTTCATCTTTTTAGTCTTAAGTTCCTGTTTTGATTAATATTTTAAGAAGTTTATATAGCCTTGGTTTTGGATTCATACTCATGTTTTTATTCTTGTTTTTCTGGATTCATGTTTTGATTTTTGTTTCCTTGGATTATGCTTGCGTTACGATTCGTGTTTTGCTTTCCAGAAGTGAGGCATTGCAACGAGCAGGAAGAGCTGGCAGGACGGCACCTGGGAAATGCTACCGAATCTACAGCAAGGAATTCTGGGAGCAGTGCATGCCTGACCACATGGTCCCAGAGATCAAGCGCACCAGTTTGACATCCGTGATACTGACACTGAAGTGTCTTGGTATCCATGATGTGATCAGGTAACAATGCTGTCAGGCTACTTGCCCCGAGATGTTTTTGTACCTGTCGATTGAGGATTTAAATCACATTAAAAGTGCAGAGACATGCTATTATTATTATTATTATTATTATTATTATTATTATTATTATTATGTGAGTCTGGAAGCCCTTCTGTCTGAGACGCATCAATTGCCTTTTTATACATGTAATTAGACACCGTATACAGGAATAGGGAAGTGGGAGGGAAGAGGAAGGCAAATGTTATTTAGTATTTTAATTCCTTTTTGCAGACATGTCTATAATGGTACTCACCAGGTTAACAGGTCATACAGTCAATTCAATCTAGAGAAAGTCATTCCAAGTTTATGAACTTCCAGGGATTTCGGCCACACTGCTCTTGGAGTCGGATTTATCATTCTCTTGTTCTTGTGTGTCCGTACTTTCCGTTTTAGTAATTGCCATCAAGATTTTTTTTTTTATGTCAGGAGTGACTAGAGAAACTGCAAGTCGCTTCTGGTGTGAAGGAATTGACAGTGTGCAAAGACGTTGCCCGGATGTTTTTGATACTTTACCATACTTGTGGGAGGCTTCTCTCATGTCCCCATGTGGGGGAGCTGGAGCTGAAAGAGGGAGCTCACCCATGCTGTCCCCAGATTCGAACCTCTGACTCGAGTCTTTAGTCCCTCCTGACACAGCAACAAAAAAAAGTCTTCAGTTCCACCAGCACAAGGGTTTAACCCATTGTGCCACCGGGGACTCCATATCGTTGTTGTTGGCTCCATATTGTTGTTGTTGTTATTATTATTATTTAGTACTAGCAGTCCCCTGCCACGCGTTGCTGTGGCCCAGTCTGTGTATATGTGTTTTGTGTATATATATGTGTGTGTGTTATGTGTGTATATATGTGTTTGTGTGTATATGTATATATATATGTGTGTGTGTGTGTGTATGTATACGTGTGTATATATTTGTGTATTTCTATGTTTATATTTGTATATGCATATTGTGTGTATGTGTGTAGGTGTATATGTATGTGTGTGTATATATGTGTACATTTGTGTGTACTTGCATATATATGTGTGTGTGTATATTAATGCATGTGTATATGTATATATGGTTTATTTTTTTGGGGGGGGGGTTAAATTCCATTCCATTCAGCTGTTTTTGTGTGTGTTTTAGGGGTGATGGACACTTGTTGGACTATTAGGTGTATTGTGTCAAAATTTCATGTCAATCCATCCAGCGGTTTTTGAGTTATGTTAATCTCACAAACGAACATTACATTTTTATTCATATTGACTAGCCATCCCCTGCCACGCGTTGCTGTGGCCCACATGGGGGTTCTGTGTGGGAGGTTTGGCTCAATTCTATCATTGGTGGGGTTCAGAATGCTCTGTGATTGTAGGTGAACTATAAATCCCAACAACTACAACTCCCAAATGTCAAGATTCTATTTCCCCAAACTCACCCAGTGTTCACATTTGGCCATATTGAGTATTCTTGTAGAGTTTGGTCCAGATTCGTCATTGTTTGAGTCCACAGTGATCTCTGGATGTAGGTGAACTACAACTCCAAAACCAAAGGACACCGCCCACCAAACCCTTCCCATATTTTCTGTTGGTCATGGGAGAACTGTGTGCCAAGTTTAGTTCAATTCCATTGTTGGTGGGGTTCAGAATACTCTTTGATTGTAGGTGAACTATAAATCCCAGCAACTACAACTACCAAATGTCAAAATCATTTTTTGAGTGAAGGACATACGTTGGGTTGTGACTGGATCGCTTCTGTGTTTTTGGGGGTGTTTTGTGCAGGTTTCCTTACCTGGATCGCCCGGAGGAGAGGCGCATCCTGGAAGCCTTGAAGCAGCTTTACCAGTGCAGTGCCATTGACAGGTAAATGTAAGGAACTGTGGGGGTTCTGTCATTAAGCAGTGTGTGTCTGATGTATGTGGCAGCAGATTTGAAATGTCACACAAAAGCAGAAGTTTTTGGAAATCCAGGTTGAGAGTGCCTTATCTGTTATTCTGGACTACTCCAAAACTGCTGCAATAGTGATACTTTTGCTTTCTTGGTCTAACATAGCTGCATATGTATCATAGTCCATTTTCAAGATTGATCACACTTGAGCTTTCTCACACGAGGCTTCTCTCACACAGAGGTTTACCTCACACTCCTCAGGACGAACAGGCTTCAGCCTACTCACTCTCCTCAGGACAAAAAGAACAAAAACACACAGACCAATGTTATCTCTTCCTTAGGAGGCTTTTCTTTATAGCAAAATAATATGGTTGAGCTTTCTCACACGAGGCTTCTCTCACACAGAGGTTTACCTCACACTCCTCAGGACGAACAGGCTTCAGCCTACTCACTCTCCTCAGGACAAAAAGAACAAAAACACACAGACCAATGTTATCTCTTCCTTAGGAGGCTTTTCTTTATAGCAAAATAATATGGTTGAGCTTTCTCACACGAGGCTTCTCTCACACAGAGGTTTACCTCACACTCCTCAGGACGACACAGGCTTTGGCCTACTCACTCTCCTCAGGACAAAAAGAACAAAAACACACAGACCAATGTTATCTCTTCCTTAGGAGGCTTTTCTTTATAGCAAAATAATATGGTTGAGCTTTCTCACACGAGGCTTCTCTCACACAGAGGTTTACCTCACACTCCTCAGGACGACGCGGAGCTTTCTTACACGAGGCTTCTCTCACACAGAGGTTTACCTCACACTTCTCAGGACGACACTAGCTTTGGCCTACTCACTCTCCTCAGGACAAAAAGAACAAAAACACAGAGACTAATGTTATATTTTCCTTAGGAGGCTTTTCTTTATAGCAAAATAATAACACGGCGGAGCTTTCTCACACGAGGCTTCTCTCACACAGAGGTTTACCTCACACTTCTCAGGATGACACTAGCTTTAGCCTACTCACTCTCCTCAGGACAAAACAACAAAAACACACAGACTAATGTTATATTTTCCTTAGGAGGCTTTTCTTTATAGCAAAATAATAACACAATGGAGCTTTCTCACACGAGGCTTCTCTCACACAGAGGTTTACCTCTCACTCCTCAGGACGACACTAGCTTTAGCCTATTCACTCTCCTCAGGACAAAAAGAACAAAAACACACAGACTAATATTATATTTTCCTTAGGAGGCTTTTCTTTATAGCAAAATAATAACATAGTGGAGCTTTCTCACACAAGCCTTCTCTCACACAGAGGTTTACCTCTCACTCCTCAGGATGACAGTAGCTTTGGCCCACTATTTACAAGATCTAGGTTCCCATAACACAAATAAACAAATGCACAGTAACTTTACACACAGTAGCCTTCAAACTGAAGCTTTGTCACATGAGGCTTCTCTCACACAGAGGTTTACCTCTCACTCCTTAGGATGACTCTAGCTTTGGCCGACTATTTACAAGATCTAGGTTTCCATAACCCAAATAAACAAATGCACAGTAGCTTTACACACAGCAGCCTTCACACTGGAGCTTTCTCACACGAGAAAGTTTACCTATCACTCCTCAGGATAACACTAGCTTTGGCCGACTATTTACAAGAGGTTTACCTATCACTCCTCAGAGGTTTACCTATCACTCCTCAGGATAACACTAGCTTTGGCCGACTATTTACAAGATCTAGGTTTCCATAAGCCATATAAACAAATGCACAGTAGCTTTACACACAGCAGCCTTCACATTGGAGCTTTCTCACACAGAGGTTTACCTCACACTCCTCAGGACGACACTAGCTTTAGTTCACTGACTCTTAACAGGCTTCGGCCTACTCACTCTCAGGACGACACCAGCTTTTGGCCCAATGACTCTTAACATGCCTAACTCTTTCAACGCTTGACTCACATTTTTGTAATTAATTTTCAATATTTTGGACACTCCTGACACGATAAATAAATACTTTGATTTGTCTCTCTGTTGTGGCCCCATTTAGGAGGGGCCACGTGACCCCGCTGGGCGAACTCATGGTGCAGTTTCCCCTCCCGCCGAACCTGACCTGCGCCGTCCTCAAGGCAGCCTCTTTCGGCTGTGAAGACCTGCTGCTCCCCATTGCAGCCATGTTGTCGGTGGAGAAAGTCTTCATCCGACCAGGTAATGGCGGGGGGGGGGGGGGGGGGGGGGGGGGGGGGGGACGGGGGGGGCTGAGCCTTGCTTGGCTTTTCTGTTGCTGGGGAAGCACCCTGAATGGGAAACAAGCTGAAGACACATTGGGCAGAACTGACCACACTTTGGGTGGGTTTCTGTCCCCTTCCTTCCTTTATCTCTTCCTTTCCTCCTTCTTTCCTCCCTCCTCTCAATCCCTCCTTCCATCATTCTTTCTTTTCCTTTCTCTTTTCATAAAATATATAATTATTATATTGTATTATTATACTGTATTACAATATTAGTATTATATATTACTATATTGCACTATATTCCAATATTATTAATACTACATGTAATATACAATATGTAATTATTATATTGTATTATTAGCATGTTGTATTATATTATATTATTATCGATATTATATAAGTATACAATATATTATTAGCACAGCACAATATTAGTATTATATATTACTGTATTGCACTATGCCACTATACTCCAATATTATTAATAATGCTACATGTAATTTAAAATATCTAATTACTATATTGTATTATATTATAATATTATTATCAATATTACTAATAGCACAGCACCATATTAGTATTATATATTACTATATTGTACTATACCACTATACTGTAATATTATTAGTAATATTACATGTACTATAAAATATATAATTATTATACTGTATTATTAGTATTATATTGTAATACAATATTATGACCAATATTATATGTGTATACAATATAATATATTATTAGCACAGCACAATATTATTATTATTGTTAGGTGACCTTGAAAGGCAAAAGGAAGCCGAACTCCGGCACCGAGAGCTGATGTCGCAAGTGGGAGGCTGCAATGACTTTGCCACTCTCCTGAACATCTTCGAACAATGCAAATCAAGGTACCAAATAAACATTTTAATTTAACATTATGTCTTTTAAAATGGATTTTAAGTGGTCTTAACCCTGTTGAGTATTCAAGTCGGTTTTACAAAAACACACACATTTTAATCTTAGACAAGGCAAAGGCTCTCCTTTCATTTCCGGCTTCAGGAGGCCATGTGGCCGGCAAGACTGCTTGGAGCATCTCTTTGCCTTTTCCTGCCGAAGCGGTACCTATTTATCTACTCACATTTATATGTTTTCAAACTGCTAGAGTGGCAGGAGCTAGGGCTAACAGCGGGAGCTCACCCCGTCCCGCAGATTCGAACTACCAACCTTCAGTTGGCAGTTCTAATCTGTAGCAGTTCAGCAGCACAAGGTTTTAGCCCATTGTATGTATTTTTCTTGTATCTTCCTTAAGTCTTAAAGCTGGGGGAAAGGTGGAATATAAATGATGATAATACTTGCTTAGGCGATCCCTCGTAGCCAGGGGATGATGGTCCTCTGAGTGCGGTGTCTTGGCGGTGGGTCTGTAGGTGGCTGTGGATCCCTATTCTTGATGCACACGTTCTCCTCCAGTTTCCAGGTGGGAGGCGGTCCCGGTCAAGGTTGATGTGCCTTCTTCCTCTTGGCACGTTTCTCCCTTTCATCCTCCATTCGTGCCTCTTCAAATTTTGCAGCACTGCTGGTCACAGCTGACCTCCAGTTAGAGTGCTCCAGGGCCAGGGCCTCCCAATTCTTGGTGTCTATGCCACCGTTTTTAATGTTAGTTTTAAGACCATCTTTCAATCTCTTTTCCTATCCACCAGCATTACATTTCCCATTCTTGAGTTGGGAGTAGAGTAACTGCTCTGGGAGACTGTGATCTTTGGGCATTCAGACAACGTTGCATTCAGTCCATCGTAGTTGATGGCGTAGGAGCACTGCTTTAATGCTGATGGTCTTTGCTTCTTTTGGCACTCATGATATTGATGATGATGATGATGATGATGATGATGATGATAATATCACTTAAATGTTGGTGGTCTTTGCTTTTTCCAGCAATAATAATAATAATAATATAGCTTCAAATGCTGGTGGCCTTTGCTTCTTCCAGCATTCATAATAATAATAATAATAATAATAATAATAATAATAATAATAATAATAATAATATTGTCGCTTTAATGCTGGTGGCTTTTGCTTCTTCTAGCACTCATGATGATGATGATGATGATGATATTATCGCTTAAATGCTGGTGGTCTTTGCTTTTTCCAGCATTCATAATAATAATAATAATAATAATAATAATAATAATAATGCTTCAATGCCAGTGGTCTTTCTTCTTCCAGCACTATTATATATATATATATATATATATATATATATATGTATATAGTATATAATAATAATAATAAACTATATAATATATATTGTAATATAGTATATAATATAATATATTGTATGTACATATAACTTGTCAGCCGCTCACTCACAAAACGGCAAAACAACAAAACTCAAAAATCCCCCAACGAAACTTAACCAAAATTCCCATGCCCATAACACAACCCACAAGGTACAAACATATCTACTCAAAATTAAAAACAACACAACAACACACTCACAAAACGGCAAAACAACAAAACTCAAAAATCCCCCAACGAAACTTAACTAAAATCCCCGTACCCATAACACAACCCACAAGGTACAAACATATCTACTCAAAATGAAAAACAACACAACAACACACTCACAAAACGGCAAAACAACAAAACTCAAAAATCCCCCAACGAAACTTAACTAAAATCCCCGTGCCCATAACACAACCCACAAGGTACAAACATATCTACTCAAAATGAAACAACACAACAACACACTCACAAAACGGCAAAACAACAAAACTCAAAAATCCCCCAACGAAACTTAATTAAAATCCCCGTGCCCATAACACAACCCACAAGGTACAAACATATCTACTCAAAATGAAAAACAACACAACAACACACTCACAAAACGGCAAAACAACAAAACTCAAAAATCCCCCAACGAAACTTAACTGAAATCCCTGTGCCCATAACACAACCCACAAGGTACAAACATATCTACTCAAAATGAAAAACAACACAACAACACACTCACAAAACGGCAAAACAACAAAACTAAAAAAAAACCCAACGAAACTTAACCAAAATTCCCATGCCCATAACACAACCCACAAGGTACAAACATATCTACTCAAAATGAAAAACAACACAACAACACACTCACAAAACGGCAAAACAACTGAGCATGCGCATTGGCGCCCAGCCGCAAGTTCCCTGGCGCGCGCACATGGCATTCCGGCCAACGTTCCCTCTGCAGAAGCCATGCCCACTCCAAGCCCCGCCGCGCCGCTTCCCACACACACACACCCCCTGCCGCGCACACACACGCAACCCCACGCTCCATCACTCCCCCCCGCCACCGCACACACACACGCACCCCCACTCCCCCCGCCGCACACACACACACAACCCCACGCTCCATCACTCCCCCCACCGCCGCACACACACGCAACCCCACTCCCCCCGCCGCCGCACACACACACGCAACCCCACTCCCCCCGCCGCCACACACACACACACGCAACCCCACGCTCCATGACTCCCCTCGCTGCCGCACACACACACGCAACCCCACGCTCCATCACTCCCCTGCCCCAATCTTACCTTCTTTTACTTCACGCCACCTCCAAACCCCACCCCGCCCCTTCCCGCCCTGTCAAAATCTAGGAAAGACAGGAAGGAAGGAAAGAAGGAAGAAAGAGAAAAAGGAAGAGGAAGAGAGGAAGAGAAAAGGAAAGAAAAAGAAAGAGGGAAGGAAAGAAAAGAAGAAGAGAAGAGAAAGAAAAAGGGAAAGGAGAAAGAGAGAGAAGAGAGAAGGAGAGAAGGAAGAAGGAAAGGAAGGAAGGAAGGAAGAAGGAAGGAGAAGAAGGAAGAAGGAGAAGGAGGGAGGGGAGGAAAGAAGGAAGGATGGAAGGGAGGGGGGAGGAAGGAAGGAAAGAAGGAAGGGAAGAAGGAGGGAAAGAGGAAAGACAGCAACACGTGGTGGGTAAAGGTTGTTATTTCTATTATTATTATGCTATTATTCCTATGAGACCCTTTTAGGGGGAATGGGAGAGGTGTCAGGTCCCAGAGGCAATGCATTGCATTATTGTTATTGTTATGATGGTGGTGAAATAAAAGGAAATAAAAATGAAAGAAGGAAGCAAACAGGGAGGGAAGAAAGGCAAAGGAAGAAAGGGGGAGGGAATGAAGGAAAAAGAGAAGGATGAAACCAAGTAGTGAAAGAAGGAAAGAAAGAAAGAAAGAGGTAGAGAAGGAAGAAAGGAGAGAAAGGGGGAGGAAAAGGGGGAAGGAATAGGTAGGTACCTCTCTTTCATAATAGTCCAGATATCTACCTCAACTTTGATAAGTTTTACTATAGGCCACAGCAACGCGTGGCAGGGCACAGCTAGTAATAATAATAATAATAATAATAATGCTTCAATGCCAGTGGTCTTTCTTCTTCCAGCACTAATGATGATAATAATAATAATAATAATAATAATAATAATAATAATAATAATAATAATGCTTCAATGCCAGTGGTCTTTTTTCTTCCAGCACTAATGATGATAATAATAATAATAATAATAATAATAATAATAATAATAATGCTTCAATGCCAGTGGTCTTTCTTCTTCCAGCACTAATGAGGATAATAATAATAATAATAATAATAATAATAATAATAATAATAATAATAATAATATGATGATGATGATGATGATGACAATATAACTTCAATGTTGGTGGTCTTTGCTTTTTTCGAATAATAATAATAATAATAATAATAATAATAATAATAATATAACTTCAATGCTGGTGGCCTTTGCTTCTTCCAGCATTCATGATAATAATAATAATTATAATTATAATAGCATCACTTCAAGGCTGGTAGTCTTTGCTTCTTCCAGCACTCATGATGATGATGATGATATTATTGCTTCAATGCTGGTGGTCTTTGCTTCTTCCAGCATTCATAATAATAATAATAATAATAATAATAATAATAATGGTAATATTATCACTTTAATGCTGGTGGCCTTTGCTTCTTCCAGCACTCATGATAGATGATGATGATGATGATGATGATGATATTGCTTCAATGTTGATGATGATGATGGTGATGATGATAACAATATCACTTCAATGCTGGTGGTCTTTGCTTCTTCCAGCATTCATAATAATAATAATAATAATGATAATGATAACAATATTGCTTCAATGCTGGTGGCCTTTGCTTCTTCCAGCACTCATGATAATAATAATCATAATAATCATAATCATAATATTCATAACAATTTGTGCAGCAAATCTCCGTCAGCTTGGTGCCAAGACAACTGGATTCATTGGAGAGCGGTGAAGCTTGCGTTCAGCGTGGAGGAGCAACTTCGAGAAATCACCAGCAAACTGAAGCAGGTAAATCACTGCCTTGCTTCCCTTCAAAGCAAGAATGAACATGGCTATAACAGAGAATGGGAATTCCCTGATGGGAAAAGAAGCCCGAGAGGCAGGGTATTTATTATTATTATTATTATTATTATTATTATTATTATTATTATTATTATTTGATACACAACAAGATGAATACAAAGCAAGCAAGGTCACTCTGCTGGCTGTTGTATTGGATCACACGTCGGACACTTGTCTAGGACTGTGTGATGTACTGGTGAATGATACATGCAGATCCGAGTAGAGTGGCTTTTGCAGCTGATAGATGGTGATTTTGTCAGTGACGATTGTTTTTAAGTGCAGGCCAAGGTCTTGAGGCACTGCACCCAGTGTGCCGACCACCACTGGGACCACAAAAAGGAGGCAAAAGGTTTTCCCTTTACTCTCAACACATCTTCATTTGAGTGTACTTTATCCGTTTCTCTCCTTTTTGGCTCTCTAGCGGCCGGACTTTCCAAGAGAGCATTTTGACGGCTCCAGGAATGAAATATTGCGGAGATGCTTGTGCGCAGGATACTTCGCCAACGTCGCAAGGAGGTAAGATGGTGCAATATCCACTAATATTCATGCAAGGCGATTAGGTTTCTCGGTTGTTAGACTGATATACCTGGTTGTCTCTTTGAACTGTTAGGAACAAAGATTGAGTGAATCTTCTCCTTGGTGGTAAATATCCACTAATATTCATGCAAGGCGATTAGGTTTCTCGGTTGTTAGACTGATATACCTGGCTATCTCTTCGGAACAAAGATTATGCCAACGCACAAAATATATAGCAAATTTTCAGATGTGATATTTCAGTTGCTCAAAAATATCTGTTCGTGCATAAAATATATTTGGTTTTAAATCATGCTCTCACAGACAGAAAATAAGTAATATTCGTTAAAAATAACATAGTTGGTTTACTTATAAACTTCATGTATTCAGCATACAGGGACATTGTTTACCAGTGGTTGTCAACCTTCATAATGCCGTGAACCCTTAAAACAGTTCCTCATGTTGTGGTGACCCCCAACCATAAAATTATTTCCGTTGCTACTGCTGTGTTTGGGAGTTGTAGTTGCTGGGATTTATAGTTCACCAACAATCCAAGAGCATTCTGAACTCTACCAACGATGGAATTGAATCAAACTTGGCAGACAGAACTCCCACAACCAAGAGAAAATACTGGAAGGGTTTGGTGGGCATTGACCTTGAATTTGGGAGTTGTAGTTCACCTACGCCTAGAGAGCACTGTGGACTCAAACAATGATGGATCTGGACCAAACTTGGCACAAATATTCAATATGCCCAAATGTGAACACTGGTTAAGGTTGGGGAAAATAGACCTTGACATTTGGGAGTTGTAGTTGCCGGGATTTATAGTTCACCTACAGTCAAAGAACATTCTGAACTCCACCAATAATGGAATTGAACCAAACTTGGCACACAGAACTCTCACGATGAACAGAAAATACTGGAAGGGTTTGGTGGGCATTGACCTTGAATTTGAGAGTTTTAGTTCACCTACACCTAGAGAACACTTTGGACTCAAACAATGATGAATCTGGACCACACTTGGCATGAATATTCAATATGCCCAAATATGAACACTGGTGGAGTTTGGGGAAAATAGACCTTGACATTTGGGAGTTGTAATTGCTGGGATTTATAGTTCACCTACAGTCAAAGAACATTCTGAACTCCACCAATAATGGAATTGAACCAAACTTCGCAGACAGAACTCCCACGACGAACAGAAAATACTGGAAGGGTTTGGTGGGCATTGACCTTGAGTTTGGGAGTTGTAGTTCACCTACATCCGGTGGACTCAAACAATGAAGGATCTGGACCAAACCTGGCACGAATATTCAATATGCCAAAATGTGAACACTGCTTAAGGTTGGGGAAAACAGACCTTAACATTTGGGAGTTGTGGTTGCTGGGATTTATAGTTCACCTACAATCAAAGAGTATTCTGAACTCTACCAACGATGGAATTGAACCAAACTTGGCAGACAGGACTCCTGTGACCAACAGAAAATACTGGAAGTGTTTGGTGGGCATTGACCTTGAGTTTGGGAGTTGTAATTCACCTACATCCGGTGGACTCAAACAATGATAGATCTGGACCAAACTTGGCATGAATATTCAATATGCCCAAATGTGAACACTGGTTAAGGTTGGGGAAAACAGACCTTAACATTTGGGAGTTGTAGTTGCTGGGATTTATAGTTCACCTATAATCCAAGAGCATTCCAAACCCCACCAATGACAGAATTGGGCCTTACTTCCCACACAGAAACCCTGTGACCAAAAGTAAATACTGTGTTTTCTGATGGCGACCCCTCAGTGGCAACTGACTGGTGTTTTGGGGTCCCACTTCGTCCTCTCCGGTCACCGGACTGAAAGAAGTGTCCCAATCTTTGTGGGAAACGGTGTCCCTGAAGCTTGACAGAGGCAACTGAGTGCAAAGCCTGTCTCTGACAGATGGCATGGTTACATTTTCCAGTGCGGGATGTGCCTGGGCGCAGCATTCGCCAGCTGCTCTCCGAGCATTTTCCCTGTTTTGCTCCTTATTTTTAGATCCGTCGGCAAGTCGTTCTGCACTATGGACGGCCACGGCAGCACCGTCTACATCCACCCTTCGTCTGCTGTAAGCTCCTTCCTTCTGTTGTTTCTTTTGCATTGAACCCTTGGGGCTTCCTAATGCCGCGACCCCTGAATACAGTTCCTCACGTTGCGATGACCCCCAACCATTACATTATTTTTGTTACTCGTTCATAACAGTCATTTTGCCACTGTTATGAATCGCGATGTAAACATCTGATATGCAGGATGTATTTTCATTCAATGGACCAAATTTGGCACAAGTACTCACTATGTCCAAATTTGAATACTGCTGGGGTTGGGGAGGTAGTGATTTTGTCATTTGGGAGTTGTACTTGCTGGGATTTATAGTTCACCTACCAGCAAAGAGCATTCTGAACTCCTCCAACAATGGATGTATTTATTTACAACATTTATTTGCCTCCCTTCTCACCCCGAAGGGGATTCAGAGCAGCTTACAAGATATATATACATGCAGTATATTATATTATTAGCATATTATAGTATCAGTATTATATATTACAATATTGTACTATACCTTTAAATTGCAATATTATTAGTAATATTATATTTAATATAAAATATATAATCATAATATATTATTATATTGTATTACATTATAATATAACTATTATATGAATTTATATTATATTATCAGCATTGCACAGGAGACAAGGTAGAACTGTCTTCTGGCCCTCTCTCTCTTCATTGAGCCGAACTACCACACAGAACTCCCATGACCAACAGAAAAGGGTTTGGTGGGCATTGACCTTGAGTTTGGGAGTTGTAGTTCACCTACAACCAGATAGAGCACTGTGGACTCAAAGAATGATGGATCTGGACCAAACTTGGCACAAATATTCCATATGTCCAAATATGAACACAAATGGAGTTTGGGAAAAATAGACCTTGACATTTGGGAGTTGTAGTTACTGGGATTTATAACTCACCTACAATCAAAGAGCATTCTGAACTCCACAAATTATGGAATTGAACCAAACTTGGCACACAGATCTCCCATGACCAACAGAAAAGGGTTTGGTGGGCAATGACCTTGAGTTTGGGAGTTGTAGTTCACCTCCTTCCAGAGAGCACTGTGGACTCAAATCATGATGGATCTGAACCAAAATTGGCATGAATACTCAATACACCCAAATGTAAACACTGGTGGAGTTTGAGGAAAATAGGCCTTGGGAGTTGCTGGGATCTATAGTTCACCTACAGTCAAAGAGCATTCTGAACCCCACCAACGATAGAATTGGGCCAATTTTCCTGCCCAAAACCCCCATGACCAAAAGAAAATATTGTGTTTTCTGATAGTTTTTGTTGACCCCTCTGACACCCCCCTCACGACACCCATCAGTTGAGAAACGCTGTATTAAACCATCTATATAAATAAAAATGTAATGTTCGTTTGTGGGATTAACATAACTCAAAAACCACTGGACGAATTGACACTAGATTTGGACACAAGACACCTATCAGGCTAACGAGTGACCATCACTCATAAAATCACTGAAAAACACAGCAGAAGAGACTTAAAAAGCCAAAAGAATAAAAAATACATTACAACGTATGCGCAAAACCACATATACACACATATATACACACAAAAAACATATATACACAGACATGGCAGGGGATGGCTAGTATTAAATAAAGAAACAAACAACTAGACATTTAAAACATGGAATTAAAAACATATTAATATAAACATTAAAATCACATAATCCAGAATCCTGAGGCCTTTCCCAATGTTAATTGCATGCAATCTTGTTAGTTTTGAATTATTTGAATTGTCAACTGAATTGTCACTTTGGAGGCCACTCTGAGTCCCTTTTGGAGTTGAAATAGAGCAATAGAAATACATACAATAAATAAATAAGAAGCCATGCAACCTCCCCTACCACTGAACCTTGCTTTGTGTTGATGTCCTGCTCGCTTGCAAATTACTTCTCTTTGTGTGTGTGTTTTGTGATTATTGCATTATTTGAAGCTGCACGATCAGGAAGCCCAGTTGGAATGGATCCTCTTCCACGACGTCCTGGTGACCTCCAGGATTTACGTGCGGACCGTCTGCCCCATTCGCTACGACTGGGTCCAGGATCTCTTGCCCCGGTTGCACAAGATCGACGCGTACGAGCTGAGCAGCATGGCGCGGGAGGAAGTGACGGAGGAGGAGATGGCCAAGTGGAAGGACAAGGAGGCTCTGGAGGGAAGGACCGGTGAGACCATCATGCTGGGAGGGAAAGGGGATGATGGGCAGGGAGGTCCAAAACGCCAGGCAGGCCAAAGTTTCCCTATGCAGTTCTATAGAATAGGGTTGTGCGATCCATTAAAAGTCATTGCAAAACTGGTGGGGTATTTCTAAAGTGTAGTTAGTGAAAATATTACAGTATAGTGATATAGTATAATATAGTAATATATAATACGAATATTGTGCTGCGCTAATAATATAATATATTGTATACACATATAATATTGACCATAAAATAATAATAATAATAATATAAAATACTAATAATAAAATATTGCAGTATAGTGATATAGGATAATATAGTAATATATAATACAAATATTGTGCTATGCTAACAATAAAATATATTGTATACACATATAATATTGATCATGTTATAATACTATAAAATACTACTACTAATAAAATATTACAGTATAGTGATATAGTATAATATAGTAATATATAATACAAATATTGTCCTCTGCTAATAATATAATATATTGTATACACATATAATATTGATCATAATATTATAATACTATAAAATACTACTAATAATAAAATATTACAGTATAGTGATATAGTATAATATAGTAATATATAATACAAATATTGTGCTATGCTAATAATATAATATATTGTATACACATATAATATTGGTCATTATAATACTACAAAATACTAATAATAATACTATATTTCATATTACCCGTAATATTACTAATAATATTAGTGGTATAGTACAATGTGGGAACGTATGGTACTAATATTGTGTTATGTTAATAATATAATATATTGTATACACATATAATATTGATCATATTATAATAGTATAAAATACTAATAATAGTATATTTCATATTACATATAATATTACTAATAATATTAAAGTATAGTGGTATAGTACAATATGGGAATGTATTGTACTAATATTGTGTTATGCTAATAATGTAATATATTGTATTTTATTTATCGTGTCATCAGCAGCCAGACATTTGTATTACATTTTTGACAGAACAAACATACAAAAGGCACAGAGTTTGCAAGCTTGGTCGTTGATTAAATGTCCTTTGTGCAGTATCTGGCCCCTTGGAGTGCCTCTGGTGTTGCCGCAAGAAGGTCCTCCCTTGTGCATGTGGCAGGGTTCAGGTTGCATTGCAGCAGGTGGTCTGTAGTTTGCTCCTCTCCACACTCACATGTCTTGGATTCCACTTTGTGGCCCCATTTCTGAAGGTTAGCTCTGCATTTCGTGGTGCCAGAGCGCAGTCTGTTCAGCGCCTTCCAAGTCGCCCAGTCTTCTGTGTGCCCAGGGGGGAGTCTCTCATTTGGGATCAGCCATTGATTGAGGTTCTGGGTTTGAGCCTGCCACTTTTGGACTCTCGCTTGCTGGGGTGTTCCAGCGAGTGTCTCTGTAGATGTTAGAAAACTATGTCTTGATTTAAGTCGTCGACATGCTGGCTGATGCCCAAACAGGGGATGAGCTAGAGATGTCACTGCCTTGGTCCTTTCACTATTGGCCACTACTTCCCGGCGGATGTCAGGTGGTGCAATACCGGCTAAGCAGTGTAATTTCTCCAGTGGTGTAGGGCGCAGACACCCCGTGATAATGCGGCATGTCTCATTAAGAGCCACATCCACTGTTTTAGTATGGTGAGATGTGTTCCACACCGGGCATGCATACTCAGCAGCAGAGTAGCACAGCGCAAGGGCAGATGTCTTCACTGTGTCTGGTTGTGATCCCCAGGTTGTGCCAGTCTGCTTTCATATGATATTGTTTCTAGCACCCACCTTTTGCTGGATACTCAGGCAGTGCTTCTTGTAGGTCAGAGCATGGTCCAGAATGACTCCCAGGTTTTTGGGTGCGCTGCAATGCTCCAGTGGGATTCCTGCCCAGGTGATCCTCAGAGCTGTCTGTTCTTAAGGTGGAAGGCACATGTCTGTGTTTTAGATGGATTAGGGATCAGCTGGTTTTCCCTGTAGTAGGCGGTAAGGGCACCTAGAGCTTCGGAGAGCTTCTGTTCAACCGTCTCAAAGCTCCCAGCTTGAGCAGCAATGGCATGATCATCAGCATAGATGAAGCTCTCTGTCCCTTCTGGCAGTGGCTGGTCATTTGTGTAGATGTTGAACATGGATAGAGCGAGCACGCTCCCCTGAGGCAGGCCGTTCTTCTGTTTCCGCCATCTGCTTCTCTGGCCCTGGAACTCAACAAAAAAGCTCCTGTTTTGTAGCAGGTTTCCTATGAAGCGGGTGAGGTGGTCGTCCTTTGTGATATTATACATTTTTCTCAGGAGGAGGCGGTGGTTTATTATGCTAATAATATAATATATTGTATACACATACAGTATTGATAATAAAATTATAATACTATAAAATAGTAGCAATAATACTATATTTCATATTACATGTAATATTACTAATAATATT